CTTTAAATCTGGGCCACACACGTGGCTCCACCAGATTTTACTCCAAAAATCTGGAGTATTCCAAAAATTAATAATTTTACAATTTTGCCCTCGACTTTGAACATTAATAACTCCTTCGTTATAATTCCAAATCACGATCCGTTTGCGCCCACGCGTTCGTGGCGATGAGTACTACGAGGATACGCCAAGAAATTGAACCTTACGTCACACGACATGGCAGTCAACAAAAGTCAGCACTTTACCTCAAAGGACATTTTCGTAAATTCACATTTAAAAATTATAAAAATCGTAATAATTGGTGACAGGTCGTTACATGGGGAACTCAGGACGAGAACACGCATCACATAGAGTTGTAAGTCACTTCATATACTGTTGTCTGCATTTTATGTTGTCGATTTAATTTTATAATAAAATTTCGATAAGGCCCTAATGAGATGATGAGATGGCAAAGAAAATTAGCAAATTATAACTTGTTAATATATTTGGTATATTGTAGAAAAGATTCCACAAAGTAATTGCACTTTTACGTTATAAGACACATCTCTTGTAATTCCAAGAATTACAAACACAAATGTGGAATTAGTTTGAGATTTCTTTCTGTGGCATTTAGCATATCTTATCGCACCTGATTTAGTTATTTTATTTATCGTAGACACAATTGTAACCAAATTAGAGCAAAAAAATGACACAAAATGAAAACATAAAATAATAATCACAATTTAAGAATTATTAATCAAGCAACTATAGGCCTTTTATGCATTTTATATATTTGTTCAAAATATCATAAGATACTTCATTTTTTTTTCAAACAAATGATATTACTTACATTAATAAAAAATGAGTATGCTATCCCAATACAGTAAAAACCAAAAAGAATCCACGTTCAATTGAAAAGTGCAAAACACTAAAAAAATTCTTCTTCAGTTTAATTGAAAAGTGTAAAACAATAAAAAGAACCCACGACCAAAGTAGTTGACGTGGCTGTAAAGATAAACACAAGAAATCAACCCCAAAGAAATTACCGATATTTCAAATAATATTTAAAAAATCAACTACTTTGAACGCGTGGTAGACTTTTTGATACTTTGAACGTGGGGTGATATTTCATGTAGATATTTGAAATCTCGTGTCTCATCTCGCTCTGAGACTCGTTCGTTAACAAACAATGCTCATAACATTCTCAGTTTCTCTAATTGTTGAGTTGGAAATCTTTAACCTGCAACCATATAAGATGAGATATGTGCAGATGACTTGAAATCTTCATTCGCAATATAGACTGAAAAGTCGATACGTTACATATTACTTGAATTTTATACAAAATATTTTAGAGCATTTCTAAAAGAAATATCAAATTTAAAACATCAAAATGGTATTAGATGATTTATGTGGTAATTGACATTTTGTACAATTTTTGCTCCACCCCCATATGTTAAATAATAATGTCATACTATAATTTTTTTCAACTCTTTATGGGGTTCAATTATTTATACAACCAATCAAATACTTGAAATACAAACATTTATTATATATTGCATCACATCTATTATTAAATAAATTTGACAGCGGAAGGCTTTGCCTTCAATTGCCTCAACGCTACATAGAAAGTGAAGGCTCAGTTGAAGAGAGTTTGCTACCAAATTTTTGCTATTGTCTATGTAACAATTTTGATATCTCCTTTGAAGATGTTTTTCTATGTATTGTGGTTTCATATGTCATTCTTTAAAGTTTCATTTCAAATTTCAACATTGATAGCAAATTTTCACCATTTTCATCGAAAGCAACCGATGTCGATATATTCATCAATATTTTTACAAATTTATATATTGATATTTTCACCAATACTGATATTTTAAACATTGTCCCAAAGTAAAGTTCTTGCTTTCTAGTATATTAATAATCACACTAAAATTTTGGTGTTTGTTATTGGCACTCCAAACTTTTTATATTTAGAGAAAAAAAAACTTATAAAGAGTGCAATTTGAAAATTTTAAAGTGCTAATAGCAAATTAGGCTATCATACAATAAGCAGCCTAATTTGTTATCGAATTTATCATCTACGAGATTTAAATCTAAGATCTTTTACTTTTTAATGAAAAAAAATATCACCATATCCTAATACTGAACGGCAAATGTGATTCTTATTATAATGCCCCTTCTGCCTTTCGCCAACTTCCCCAAGTATACAGAGATTTTCAAGCGTTCCCTACCTTGTGCTAACTGCTCCCTAAAATTTTGTTTTTGACTTTAAGGTTTATTTATTTAGGGTTTTTAACTTTTCGGCTGATATATGAAAATAATTCGGGATTTTGATTTCAAGGGGCCTAGTTTTGCTTTTCTCCTTTCTTTTTGGCAAAATTAGATAAAAGCGCTTTAATTCTACATTTTCTGAATTAAACATTTGTGGGTTTTTAACTTTTTATTAAAATGCTATGTATATTGATTAAGATGCTTTCATTTTTATCCATGTCATTTTTTAATTTCCAACTCATCATTTTAAGTAAATTTTAAAGAAAACAAAAAAAAATGAAAATAAGAGTTATTGATATTGAAACTAATCAGATATAAAACCCCTAAATTCATGGAAAGAAAATAAGTTTGAAAATTTTGATTGAGTCATTATCCCAATAATTAATTGTTAAGAATTTGATATAATTAATTTTCAGTACAAAGTTTTAATATGAAAAATTCTCTCTTTTTAAGGGTCATAACGTACCACTAGATTGTACGTACCAAAGTTAGGTTAACACATTGTACCAATACCATGATACATACTAGAACTAGAATCACATAACGTACCAAAATTAGTAATATGTAATGTACCAAAATATTAATACGTACCAAAACTAAGATTATACAATTTACCAAGTTATTGGTATGTTATGTTTAATAGGATGTCCATAATTGGTATGTTAAGTTTAATAGGATGTTATTTGTATTTTTAGAATTTTAATGATATTTTTTATTTGAGTAATGAAAAGTGTCGTTTGAAATGAATTATGGGATAATATATCTCCTAGATTTTAGGATTTAGGTGATATTAATTTGTCATTTGATTCGTAAACCAAATATATGTAATTGTTGTTATTAAAAATTAGATAAGAATGTTTGATCAAAAGTCTAAAAGATATGGATGTTAAATCTAAGAATTTAAAATTTGAGGCGCCTATATCAAAAAACCCCTTTCTTTTTTGGGAACTAAGACCTCAGCATATATCATCGACCTTTTTTCTTTTTTGGGATTTTGAAGGTTATTTTGTGTTTAGTTTGAACAAGGTTCTTTTTAATTTTTTATTTCTTAGGCTCAAAACTGAGAACTATAATTTAGAAAGACGTGCTCAAAAGACGAACTAGTTGAGTTTAGCAACTCCAAAATTTCGACAACTTGAAAGAAAATTACTCTTATGAGTAGTACACGATCGAATTTGGGAGTGTACCCTATTAAAATTAGAATATTGCATATTCTTTACTCTTAAAATTAAATTTTAAAGTTGATTGTGCATTCTGGATGATTAAAAGAACTTTTTATGTAGAAGTGAAACCACTCGATATAAGTTATATAAAATCTTGTCAATTTTCCGACACGGGAGTATTTTATTCAAGAAAAATAATTTGAAGGTTTCTACCGTCGTGTTATTTTCAACAAAGTTCTTTTTAATTTTTTATTTCACAGGGTCAAAATAATGAACACGAATTTAGAAAGACATGCTCTAAGCCTGAATTAGAAATGTTTAGACACTACAATTTTTGTTTGTTTGTTAATACAATGATATTTACACTAAATGATGGATGAATAAATTAGTTACGAACTAATAATTGGCATTCATGTATTGTTCAACTATTCTATAACTTATAAGTAAAGGTAGCCCTTGCAATATGAGCCCTTTAAATTTGTCACAGGCATAGAACGGTGCTGCAACTGCACCTTCACAAAAGCCTTTCAAGTATTGGTACGACTAAGTTACAACTCTCACAAAACAAACCATCCAGACGTCCACAAGATGAGAGCAAACCATCCGAAAACCGGTACCAGGATGAACAATAACATAATGGAGGCTAGAGTTCTGGACAAGGGACTAACATTGTTCATGAGTTCAGCCAAATGTGAGTTGTGAGATTGGACTATCTTTACAGCTAATGTGGGAGGACAAAGAAAATGCATTTGTGGAGTGACCCTAATGAACTGTTACCACCTCCTCCTTTGTACTGTTATATTATGTACATAATCTCAGTTTATTAATATTAATAAATAAATCAAACAAACAAATATTTTGAACTTACGTTTCTACATGTAGAGGGTTAACATTAATGTTGGCATCCATTGTCCAAAAGACCCTTAATTTCCTTGTACTACAAGCAAAGAGATAAATTCACCAGAGGATGTCTTACTGATGAAAGTTTGAGGTTGTCCTAATAAAATATGAGTAAATGTTATGCAGGGAAACAAAATTTATCTTATCCATAACTTGGACGAGAGAATTGAAGAGAAATTCACCAAAATTTCCACCAACCTAGGAACACAAAAACATAAATCAGATCGAAGACTCGTTACGCATTCTCTCTCTCACACAGACTCACGCGCAAGAACTCTGGTTTCTGTTTTCCTTTTTTTTTTTTTTTTTCAAAGGAGAGCTCTGTTTTTTGTCATAGGCAAAAGAGTACTCCAAAACAGAGTTTGGTGGCGAGGAACATGACCAATTGTGGCCGTGAAGCTTAAAGCACTACGGAAGATGGCACGGCGGTGAATGAGAGCAAAAGAAACAAGGTACTTTTGAGCTACACTTACAACAAAATGAAAGCAACAAACTCACTTGTGCAGTGAGCAATGTCAGAACACTTTGAACAAAGAAAATTTTGCATTTAAGGATCATGATAAGTGGATAGTTGAGGGGTTTTTCCTTCAAATGAGCTTTGAAGTGTTTTTTCTTTACATGGTTGCTAAGGTGCTTTTTCCAATTCAATAGAAGATGAAACGAAAGAATTATTTCGAACTTGTGTTTCTGCACGGAGAGGATTAACATTAAGGTCTGCATCCATTATAAAAAAGCACATGCCTTGTACTACAAAGACAGAGAAATTGACAAGATGAAGTCTTACTGGTACATGCATTTGTGAAATACAATTATCAAGTAACGATTAGATTTGATCCGATAGGATGTTCTCTCTTTTTTCTTTGATTTGGACGAAAAAAAGAAAACACATGTTTTGAAAAGTTGTACTCTGCATTCCAGCTTAGTTATCATACTCAGGCGTCCCCGTTCTGGTTCTGGGGTTCTTCGCTGCCGGTCAACCTCATCACCTCCTTCATTTTGTCACGGACATAAGGAACAGCGTCAGTACACTGTTCTTAGCGTTTGGTAGGACTTGGTCCCAATTATCACAAAATATACGGCCCAACATGCAAGAGTAAACCACCCGAAAGCTGGAACGAGGAGGAGCACCAGTAGAACCAACGCAAGAGTTCCACACAAAAGGCTGATGTTGTTCAATTCATCAATTCATATATATTTGTATTGTTGGAAGCTTGGAGAATCTTGGTAGTCTCCAATGTCCCCGCGTAAGTGAGTAAATCAGCAATCAACATCACAACAGTCTTGTGGTTTGTGACAAATGGAGACGGTAAATTTCCGGTCGCATGCTTCACCTGGAGGAGAACTCCTAGGATGTTGAGGAGATGGAATATACATTTGTGTGCTGCCGGTAGAGATTTGTACTGCCCGCCCTCCACCATAGTGCTGCTGTATTATAGTCAACACAGAAAATTAATGAATGGGAAAATGATCTCTGTAACATTACTCTAATGATAACAGGAGTTCCTAATTTTCAGTTCTTCCATATTAGTTAATGATATTAACATGTGTCATCAACCGTTAGAATATCTGCACACAACCCAAACTCATTTGCTAGCTAATTAAGAACATGAGCTTATAAAAGACCCCGTTTCATATACATATCGATCAGAAGGCATGTTACAGAGTATCTGGAAACCAAATTTAGTTGATCCATAACTTGGACCTGGAAATTGAAAACGAAAAAGAAGGTTACGCAGAGTTTCGTAGATAGGTTAACAAGATTGTTTACTGTTTCCCTTATGCTTTACAATCAGCTTCTGACGAAAGAGTAGATGCAACATTCTTTGAGAGTCCGGCGACGTGCGTGAATGAAAGAGTATCAGAGAACAATGAAAAGGGAGAAAAGAGCTTTCCACAAAACTATCAAGAAATACAAGGACAAAAATCACAATCAACATATGTATGTACGTACGTACATACATACATACATACATACATACATACATACATACATACCTACCGACATACCTACCTACATACCTACCTACATACATACATACATGGTGAAGTACATGAAAAACTAGCTACTGGTTCTTACATGACGGTATAAACAATAGAAAAACACAATACATACAAAGGGAGGCTACTCAGTTGGAGTATTACCTGTGCCTCAATTGTTTCAGCAATGATTCAGTTTAGTTATGTTGACGGTCTTGTGCTGATGTGGAGGCTCACTGCTTTAGTTTCCAGCTGTACATTGTAGCTAATTACTATATTTATATCGTCCTAAGAGTTTTTGGTATACCTGAAAATGTAATGCTAAAGAGATTATCTATTTAAATTATATTTTATAAACCATATGACGTGATTGTTCAGTGCTTAAACTACTTGTGCTTAAACTTGAGTTCCTTCACATATTCTTCAGTGCCCTTCAACTACTTGTGTAGATCTTGCGTGCTTCAATCACAACTGCACAGGCTACAGGGTGTCCAGAATATGTAAACCCATGAGAAAAAGAACCAAGCTCGCTGCTCTGAGAGTGTAGCACATCTGAAACTTCTGGGCTCACAAGAATGCTGAATGGCATATATTCAGAAGAAGAGACTTTGCCACAGATACAAGGTCTGGTTTAATGTTGTATTTGTCACACCTATACATGTAGCCAAGCCTTCCAAATGCACAGATTACATCGTTCCAAATGCACAGATTACATCATCATAAATAGAATGCAACAATTGTCTCTGGTCCCTCAGTGTGCAATACAAATGGAGCTGGAGGATCAAACTTTTATGGTCAGTGTGCAATACAAAGGGAACCATAAAGAGATGCTCATGTAGACTTCTAGATACAAATGCCAACTAGAACACATGAGCAATGAACGATAACTTGGTAGATACTATTTTGAGTGTCATTTATGAACACTAAAGTTAAACTAATGCTACCACGGCAATAAAAATAACCGACTAATAAACAATGTAGCGGAAAGTAAATGTTTGCAGGGTTAAAGTAACAGAAAGCTGTTGAGAATCAAAGCTAACCGTGTCGCAAAGACCTGTAAACTTCTATGTACGCTCTGTTAAACGAAATGTCCAGCCACAGATAATAAATCCGGACATCAGATATCATGGGCAAACAACTCCAAAAAGATACAACAGCAATACCTATTCACACAGACGACCACATATTAGACACAACAGGAACAAGAAATCACAAATGAGAATGAACTAATCGTTCAAACTGCAATCTCAGTCAAAAGATGGTGATTCTAACTCACTAATCACAGAATATCATTAACGTTAAATATTTGCATCACAGATTACAGACTTACTTCCAAAATGATGCAATTGAAAAGTTAATAATCCTAAGCAAACAAAATAAATTACTGAAATGGTAGACAAAAATGGGAATGCAACGTAGATCAGATGGTAGTGCATGTAAGTATTCATCATTCAAATTGCAGAATAGATGGGTACAAATCATCACTTCTTGTTCCATATCCCCAAAAATTAAAACCCTTTTGTTCAACAAACAAGTAAACTCAAAATAAATAGACAAAACTGAGAGAAAAAGATCGAAAAAATTTCCAAATATTAGCCACAAATCAACCAATCATATGGTAAAAACAGACTTTTATTGCTCTAAAAGATCAGATAGTCGATCACTGATTCACCCCATTGCATCTTAAGATGCAAGTAAGACAGTTCATAATAGCTATCCTCATATCCATAAAAAACCAAGTTCAAATAACAAAATGGTAAACATAATACCGCGCCCACCACCTCCACCAATTCAACCATTAAATTAACCCACTTCACATCTACCTACGTCATTGGAATTTAAATCAATTCTAAGGTTCTAAAAATACATACAGAGCATCAATTCTAAGAATCATACACAAGTAATTGTACCTCTCATAGAGCTACAGAACAATGTCTCTGCAAAATTCAGTGCAATCAAATACAAGCAAGACTGACAAGTTCAACCAATTTGCTTAATCCAAAATCTCTAAACACAAAATACCCAATCGATTGAGCAAACACCATGAACAACAACAAAAAACACAGGGATAATAATTTCCACTGAAAGATTCTTGCACCATCTTAAAAACCCCACCCCAATTACACAAACTACGAAAGCAATCCAATACACTAACCCAGCAAATGAAAATTAAGAAATCAATATTATGTAGAAAAGGTATTTAGAGTTCAAACACCTCCGAATCCGTCAAGCATCTCTACCCAACTACAATTCAACAGAGATCGACATGAAAGACCAGAAAATCCAAACGAATTTAGAAATCAGAAAGCTAGGGCACCCAAATCCAACCCAGACTTGTTCGTCTTCTTTTCCTTCTGCTGCTGGGACTCCGATTTCACGACGCAGCAGAAAGCACCAAACGAAGACCATCGCCAGCGATACAGGTCCGTCGTCGATTGTTTATATGTTGGACGGCTACGAGGTGGTGCAACAAGGAAGGAGAAGGGAAAGGGCGAAGGTGCGAAGGGACGAGGAGCAAGCTGCAAAGGAGAAAAGAGATGGCGGGATTAGAGGGCGGCTTAGCAGTCCTCTTCGAATCGGGGGCCTCGCTAAGACCAGTTAGCGAGCAAGTTCCTCCTAATCCCACTAAAATTTATTCGGATTGGAAACAAACAGAAGACTGGATTAAAACTTAGTCAAATCTAGTTCAGTGAAAGACAATGAGTCCCAAAAAACACATCCTAAGGGTTTTAGCATAGATTAATCCATAGTATAGGCATGCTTGGCGGTCAATTTCATGCAAATAACAAACACATAGATATAACGGTTTTCTAAACGGATTTGAAAATTGGATTACATTTTTTTTTTTTTTTTTTTTTGGCAAACAAAACTTAAAAAAGAAGTTTATATACTTGGAACACTAGTTCTGGCGTAAATTTGTGAAGTACGTAGCAATACTTGAACTCTATGTATTTCACTAAAAATAATTTACATAGCAAATGGCGTAAATATATAAACTTCTTTTTTAAGTCCGAATCAGTTCATAAATTTTACATAGCAATACTTTTTTTTTTTTTTAATAAATTGTAGAGATGGATTAGACGAGATTACTCTTCGTCAATAGTTGTGTGCGAGGCACCAACCCTCTTCCGAAGGAGAAAAGGACCGTTGCGCCTAGAAACTCCCCGTTCGTCCCCTCTCTACAAGATTTTATTAAGAAGAAAAAAGAAAAAAAAAATATACAAGCGGGGGAACTAGGTCGATACCCCTAAAAACAACTTTTGAAGCCAAATCCTAACAAGAAGTAAAAAACTGCTTAAGACACGAAAACCCAGTTAAAACCCAACCTAACAAAATCGATAATTGGGGCGAAGAGAAAGACTATGATGATACGCAACAATAGCACAAGGAGGACAAGAGTCCCACCAATAAACCCCAGGATGGTGCACTCCAAAATTTGCCAAACGGTCAGCCACTTGATTCCCTTCGCGAAAAATATGTGTAACTCTTATGCACATAAAAGAGAGCAACGTTCTACAATTCAACCAACGAACTCTCAAATGCCAAGGAACACGATTATGAGAAGCAGAAGTGAAAAGAACAGCCAAGGATGAATCACACTCAATCCAAAGGGAACACCAACTGTTCTCCCAAGCTAAGTTTACCGCATGAATTACAGCATGCAATTCAGCTTCAACAGAGTTGGTCACCCCTAATGAAGTAGCAAAACACCCTAGACATGAACAAAATGATCACGAAAGATATCACCAATACCAGCCAATCCTGGTGATCCACGAGCTGCACCATCGGTATTCACTTTGACCCAATGTAGAGAAGGTGGTTTCCATAAAACTTCAATAACACGAGGTGACTTGGCAAGACAACCAAACAAACCAATAGCACGAAGAATACAAAGTTCTTCCACATAATTTTTCATGTTTCCCTTGCTCAGCGAATCAATTTCAAGGAGCTGAAAATTAATTAAGCAAGCAATAGCAGTAATGGAAGGTCGAATATCGTCAAAACGAAGCTTATTACGTGTTGTCCATAGACAATATAAACAGGCTCCAATTAAACCCCTCCTATAGAAGTTGAATCTGAGAGCCATTGCCTTTGCGAATAGGATAAGTGAAGAAGGTCATAATATCATCAAAGTTAGAGATCACCCCAAACCAATTTAAACATGAAGACCAAACCTGACGTGAGAAAGAACATTCAAAAAATAAATGTCTCAGAGTTTCCACATTTGAGCCACAAAGGGAACACATGGAGGCAAGAGCAAAACCTCTATCATGTAATAAAGAATCTGTAACAATTTTCCCATGCATGAATTTCCATAGAAAAAGATAAGTTCTAGGACAAAAACAAGAATTCCAAACCCAATGGTCCCACGGTCCCAAACCACCAAAGGTTGCTTGCTTTGTTTAATATCATACGCATGAGAAAGCGTGAGATGACCATCAGAAGAATTAGTCCAAATCAAAGTATCATCAATTTTAGTAGTCTTAGGTAAACAAATACAACAAATTTGACCCCAAATAAGATGTAAACTATCATGGAGAGAGGCAGGACAAATCCAATTCCCATCAATAATAAAATTGGAGACCTGTGCATGCAAAGTTTTACCCAAAGCATTTGGAATGTTTAAAACTTCAATTAAGGATTTATCCAACAAATTGGCATGCCAAAAAGAAACGTTTTTACCTGAACCAATAATCCAACGTGAGTTCTGTTGTAATTCGGAGAAAAGAGGACGAAGACCAGGCCATATAGAAGATGTCTTATACGAGGAGGAGGGCAAACCATGATTATTGAAAAACCGACCGCGAAAAAATGAAGCCAAAGTAGAGGTGACCAAGATGTCCCAAAATTTTTTCAGCAGAAAAGCCTGATTCAAAGAAGCGAAATTCCGAATGCCAAGACCACCCTCATTCAGTGGAGCACAACACCTCTTCCATGAAACCGTCGAAAAACCACGAGAGTCCGCACAACCTGTCCAGATAAAATTACGAGCCCAATTTCTGACTTGCACCAAAACAGTAGAAGGCCATCGGTAAACTGAAAAACTATGAGAAAGCATACTAATAACAACCGATTTAATTAGAGCAACACGTCCAGCCATAGACAACGAACGTCCTTGCCATTGAGACTCTATCAAATCAATATACTCCACAGGTAGCTAGCAAGAAAAGCAGCACAAGAAATGAAAGAGAAAAACGGAGCTCGAAATGTGGTGGTGCATGGAAGTGAAACCCGTTTATGAAGTACGTAGTTAATGGATTGAGATTCTCTTTGAAGCTCACAATCCGGAGCCTACGGATCAAACAATCTAAAACTCTGCAATTTAAATTTTGCAATCCTATTAGCACTTTTTACTGGCTCACCTCACACACAATTTTTCTATTCCACGCTCATGTATCTCTCTCTTTCTTAAATTGACAGTTCATATTGCTCAGTCTATAGACTCTAAAGTGTGACATCCGGAGATAATTTCACTCCGTAGCCAATCCTCATACATTTTGAATAGTTTGACTTTGGTCAAAACCTAGCGAGGACAACACATGCGAGTTGTGATCTTGGAGTATCATCACAGCTAATGTGTAGTGACCCTAGTGTGAAGGAGAAAGAAAATGCATTTGCGGACCTATTACCGCCCTCGTCCTTTGTGCGGTTATATTGTACATAATCTTAGCTTGTTAATATTAATAACTAAATAACAAATATTTTGAACTTAAACATTTCTACATTTAGAGGGTTAACATTAATGTTGGCAACCTTTATTTCCCTGTACTACAAGCAAAGAGATACAATTCGTCTGAGGATGTTTTATAGATGAAAGTTTGAGGTATTTGTGGTATTTATGTGTTGTTAACTTTTTTATGGTGTGGCAGAATGTAAAAAAATAATGAAGATGATTTAACAATCGATATGGTCATAGATGAAAGAAGAGTTTAATCAGTGTTAGTTTTTAGGGAAAATTATACAAAATTACCTCAAGTATGAGTCGAACGACAATGTCATACCTGATATTTTAAATATTGCAATGTCATACCTCGTCTTACAAATTCATTGCAAAGTCAAACCTACGTTAAATTTTTTGTTAAATTTGACTGTTAAATGATGAAGTGACAGACGCGGAACCTACATCCTGACCAACTAAATCAAAAAAATTAATTAATTATTAATAAATATAGAAAAGGGGAAAAATGGGTGGGGGTGTTTTGGAACAGAAAGAGAAAAAAATAGTTGGAGGGGTTTTAGAACGAAATTGGGAGAAGGGGAGGGTGGGGATGGATGGAGTGGGGAAGGGTGGATCCCACAATTTTGTAACAATTTTTTTAGGAAATTATTATTGGCACTTCAAATATCTCATTCTACACTTCAAACGTTTTATATTTGGAAAGAAAAATACACTTGTGAAGAGTGTAAAATGAGATTTTTGAAGTGCCAATAACACTTTCCTTTTTTTAAATGGTTTTCCATATTTATTAATATTTAATTAATTTTTTTAATTTAGTAGGGTGAGGATGTGGGTCCAGCGCGTGTTCCTTCATTATTAACAGTCAAACTTAACACAAAATTTAATAGGGGCCTGACATTGCAATGAATTTGTAAGACGGTGTTTGACATTGTAATGTTTAAAACATGAGGTATGAAATTGTAGTTCGACTCATAGTTGAGATATGAAATTTATATATTGACATGTTATTATCTTACAAGTTATTTTTTAAGGAAGTTTTAACGAAAAGCCCACGGTACTGTTCATTTTAACGAAAAACTAGATTTTTACACTAAAAAGTCAATCATGATACTATTCACTTTACCGTTTATTTTGTTCTTATCTTTAAAACTCGAAGTTTTTAAACCCTTTTCATTAGTTTTCCTATTTTTTTAATTTATAAGTTTGTATTGTAAGCCGGTAGATTTTTGAAGAACACGACCAATTGAAGATGGAGTATAATCTGGAACTGGAGGATGAGTTTTTCTTAAAGGGCTTGATTGCAAAAATACAAAATAGTGGGATTAGACAATGGAGTGAGCGCTCAGTGGGCTTCTTTTTGTAAAACATAAATTTGCAATTTGGACACCTATGCGAAAAGGATCTAATGAAGAGGGAGTTCAAACAACTTCATCTGAGTCTTTTACATTCCTAGCACTGAACATCCAGTATATGCTGACCTGCCTCTATACTCTTAACTCAAAGCTTCAACATCCGTACTTTGACACAAAGTAAGTGAGACTAAGTGATATAACCAACATGGCTCACATATCCAAACAATGGATTCATTCATGCATAGCAAAACATTCATAAGCATCACTCATGTCAATCAACATAAACACCATACATTTCAACACATTCATACATAAGCCAACTGAGCTTCGAAGGGGTGTCAACGTGCATTTTGCCATTCGGCACTTGCTACAATGTGCCTCAGCAACTTGCCCTTATTCTCACCAACTAGGTGATGAAGGAACTCCCTTTGTATCACCAACCAGGTGATGAAGAGCACAACCAATACTCTAATAAACAATGTTGAGATTCGGCAACTCAACACTCTTCTTACCAATTAGGTGATGAAGAAACTTACCTTCGTATCACCAACCAGGTGGTGGAAGATACAACTAGTACTTTAATAAACATTTTTCCTTTGGCAACTCACCACTCCTTTCACCAAACGGATGATGAAA